CAAGAATCCATGGCCCAGGTGGCAGCGTTCAGTATCATAAAGATACCCGCTGTATGGCAGGCTTGGGGCGAGAGCCACTCCTCCTGATAAAGGAGTTGTAGGACCTTGCTCCAGTTCTTGTGGAAGGCTGCCCTCAGAACCGCAATCCACCTTCAGGATTGTGAACTTTATCAGCTCTTGCTACTGTGCTACTCGAAAAGCATCTTCCTATAGAATCCATTGGAAGCAGCCAGAGGGTGGCAGTAACCTTGACTGTCACTGCTATGTGACTTAAAGCATCCTCCTATAAATCTTCTTAGAAGTAGTTTTCCCATAGATAGAAGTATTGCACACTGCACCCTCTTCAGTTTGCATGGCCCACCGTCAAGCCTCGGTGACCTAATGGGGGTGGACCCCTTACTGCACACGGCCCTTGGCTTCATGGGAACGGGACCCTTGTTGCGCGCTGTCCACCTCTTGGCCTAGGTGACCTAATGGGGGTGGACCCTATGTTTTATTGCTCACGACCCTATCACTATCCTTAAAGATGATTTCACTCACTGCCCTACCCGCTAACCTATACACAATAAATACTCATGCTTCTGGACATTTGGGGCCTTGCCTGACTCCGCTTGTAGGTGGCGTGGCCCCCGGAGCCCCACTCCATTTTCTTTGTACTTCTGTGTCCTGTCTCTTTATTTCTGGGATCCTGCGCCTCAGCACAGCATAAGGCTCACCCTACGACCCTGTGGGTACTCAGACCTACATCAGGTGCCCAACGTGTCCTACATGGACATCAGAAGGAAAACGTAGTTTCCGCCCAGATACGGCTTTGCGTTTCACATTCTGGTTTGCATCCCCGTTCCAGAAAATTCCAGGGCTTTTTACTCACGTGTCAGCCTTCCCGGCGGGTGTAGCTTCCAAAACCTGAGAAACAGGCGCTGGGAACCAGGCTGAGACAGACACAGGTGTCGTCGGGCTCAGCCCTCTGCTGGTTTTGAAGGGCAGGGTTTCTCCGCCCAGCACCCCGCCCCTTCCTCCCCAGGCCCCGCCCACCTCCCTGCGGGCCCCGCCCAGGCCTGCCTTCTGTCCTGCGCGGGCAGATTCTCGCAAACCCGGAAGCGGATCGCGTGGAGTGAGGCGCCCTCCGGGACGCGTGAGTTTCGCTCTGTCTTGCATTAAGTCTCCGCTTCCCAGGTCCCCGGCGCTTCTGTACCTGGGACTTGGGGTCCCCACAGAGCT